ATGGGCCCCAAAACCCGTTTCTAATTTTTATAATTTCTAAGGCCCCGATATTATTTGGGTTTAGGCTTGTGGGTGTCTGGTTTTGGGGTTGAGGGATGCTTAGGGCTTGGGGTTGGATCATTAGTAATCACCGCACCTTTGGAAGCCCGGTTTGTCAATTCCTTGCAGTCCTTCTTTGGGTCGTTGTTGTTCCCGTCTTCAGTTGAAATCAGACCCTGAGGTGCGCACCAGGGTACCGAAAAGAGATCAAGCGTAGTGGCACAGCCTTGAAGTCCCTGGTAGAAGCACAATTTAGGTTTTAGGGTTTAGGGTTTAGGTTGCACCAAGTACCGGATGTGTTAGTGGTTGAGATGTCGGGGCTGAAGTTCGTTTACGGTTCTGCCCCACCAGATCAACAACCCCTCATTTGTCGCCACATTTTACGTAGCTGCGGTCGCATACCGACCTGCCAGAACTGATGGTAAGTTGTCGACTAGAGCATGACAACTGTGACGAGTCCGGGCTCCGGGTCCCAAAGAACCCAATAGCCCTTGACTAAGGAATATATACCTTAAATCATATTGTGAAGGCCTCTATAATTTAAGGTTATATTCCTTAATTAGGGGGTATTGGCTTCTCTGGGCTTCTGCGTCCTGTACTCAAGGGCTCCAAGAGCTTTGCTCGGGGTCTGTTTACCTTGCTGTGCGGGCTTGTTGTTCCGGAACGCCTAACACCTCAACCCTAAACCCTAAACCCTAAACCCTAAACCCCTAAACCTTAAACCCTGAACCCCTAAACCTTAAACACTACACCCTTAAACCCCTAAACCCTAAACCCTGCACCCTTAAAGTCTCATCGCTGGATGCGAGGTGCCGTCATGGACTTTCGACGGGCAAATCGGAGGAGAGATCCTGCTTGACCGGATTTGAAGCTGGGTTTAGGGTTTAGGGTTTAGGGTTTAGGGTTTAGGGTTTAGGGTTTACCTAAACCCCAAGGCTTAAAACCCACAAAAATCCCCATAAGGTAGGTTCTAAAAGGGCTATATTGAGCCCGATGCGGCAAGCTTCTATCGCCGACCCCCCTACCCGAAACCCTAAACCCTAAACCCTAAACCCTAAGAAGCCCTAATCCCTAAACCCTAAGATCCGAACCTGAAGCCCTTAAAGTTCTTCCGGACCCTGGCACCTCGACTCCAAATCCCACGACTTTTCAGCCTCGAAACCAACTCCGTTGAACCAGGAAGACTGACTCTCTTCCTGACGGTTTGGTGTCTTGAGTTGCAAGAAACTTTACTAAGCTTTAACTGTATACCGTAGAAGTTATACCAAAATTATACCCTAAACCTTCAACCCGAAAATCAAATTCATAGAGACCCGTGCCTGAAGCGCCACCAGGGCTGCGTTGGGCAGCAGGCTGAGATTTGCAGGTTGCAGACGAAGAGGGTTGGGACTAAGGGTTTGCAATGGATTTGTAGGGGGCATATGGGGGTTTCCGAAAATAGGGGACCCTAATATAGTACCCCAAATAATAGGATCCTTATTATAAGGACCCCAAAATAAGGTACCCCCCCATTTTCGGAAACTCCCATATGGGGTTTATAGGGTTTTGGGTTTTGAGGTTCTGGGTCGGGAGTTCAGGGCTTGGGGTGTAGGTCAATCGTCATGGATGACTTCCAGCAGATGGCCTCCGATTCCAGCGTGTCCCTAGACAAAGGGTCCTAGGTACTGTTATGGGGGATACTTTCTCAAATCATATAAAATCCAGGAACCCTACATTCTACTGTATAGGTACATAGGACCCTTTGGGTTGGTGTCCAACTTTGACGTGGACAGAATTGTCCGTACATGCAGCAGCGGTGCCGAGCTTGAGGAGATGACTTAGCAGCTTTCTGCGGACAGTGGCCTCACGGAAACCCCCTTTAAGCTCCTTGCTAAGGCTTCCATAAGGCTACTTTTCAGCCGCTGGCGCTCCGCTGAAATGCTCCCTTCGCTTGAGCAACATACGGAGCCAAGAATCATGTCCCCTAAACCCTAAGCCCTAAAACCCTAAACCCTACACCCTAAACCCTAAACCCTAAACCCTAGTCCGCAGCACCTTTGCGGCCAGCCTTTTGATGGTTGCGGCCGGGCGGTGGGTTTTAGGGTGCAGCATGTACGGGCCCAGCTGTAGGAGTCCATTAGACAATTGGTCAAGTCCAAGTAAGTACTGTAGCGGCCTTAATAATTAGAATAGGGTTTTGGGGCCCATGATACTATCAGTAGAATAAGGAACCCCCAAAATATTATCGGTAATGATTAGGGGCTCTATATTAAGCCCGGGCCTTGAACCCTCTTCTTGGAGGGATCCCTTGTTCAAGAGTCTATCTGCAGGAGTTGCTGCACCTGACCCATGGGAGTCAGCTACTTCGAAGCCATCACATTCCGAGGCTTGTGACCAATCTTCTTATGGGGCGGAAGAGGTGTGCTCAAGTATCTTCTGACTGTTACTGCCACGTTCCATTTCTTGCCATCATACTACCAAGTATTGGTGCTAGTACTAGTGCTGCAGTACGGGTATCTCATGGCAGGACAACAACTTACTATTGCGACGACACGCCTGCTGCTGCTGCTGCTGCCACTGATACTGCTGCCGCTTCTGCTGCTGCTGCTGCT